TCCGAATTCTCGTCCGGATGGGTCGGTTGGGTTCGGTTTTAATTGCCTTGCGGCCGTTGCGAGCCGCGCCCGCCGCTCAAAACACACATTCGACACAAATTCACAGAATGTTGTGTGTGTGTGTGGGGGGGGGGGGTCCGTCTGAAGGTCCGAATTCTCCTCCGATTGTGTCCGGACGGTCCGGTACGGTCTGCTCTGCGGCCGTTGCGAGTCGCGCCAGCCGCCATTCGGCTGCTACCAACACCTGCGACGCCGCGAGGGCCGCGACACGAGTGCCCCCCGCGAGATGACAGGCCGCGAGTCGCGAGTATATTCACCCCTACGACGGGGGTGATCCGCGGGGGTGACTCGCGCAGATAGCCTCGCGACCTGCGCTGTCCTTGTCGCGAATGTGTGCCTGCCCCCGGACGAGAATTCAGACGGACTCTTGTTTTTTTTTCATCGTGGGACAAAGGGTGTGTCCGAATTCTCAATCCAACCGTTCTGATTAGGTCCGAATGGGTCGGAATGGCGGAAGAAGAGGGGGCTGGCAGCACGGCGCGCAACCCACGACCATCCCTTGCGAAAGGACTTTGGTGGTCCGCGGTCCTTCGCGGGGGTTGTCGCGAACCGCTTCCGACCGACTTCGACGACGTGTGTCGTTCGCGGTTCGCGACGCTCCCCGAAGGACCCCGAACCACCGACGTCCTTTCGCGGGGGATGGTGGCGGGTTACCCGCCCTTCTGCTGCCCCCGTCTTCTTCGTCATTACGACCCATTCAGACTTCAGACCTATTCAGAACGGTCGGATTGAGAATTATTCGGACACACTCAAAAAGACGCTCCGCTGAAGGATCCAATCCACCGCCACTCAAGATCTCGCGACAAGACAACACGTGCATTACTGTGCAGGTTAGGTTACTCGAAGTTGCCCAGGGATTAAAAAGTCAAAATGTGATGTTTTCACTACCCCGCCGCCTAATACCCCTCTGTGAGAGATTCTTTCCTCCTCCATGGCGTGTCCCCTAACCTAGAATGGCTCCTCTGTGCGGTATGGTTCGAGCAGACACCCACTAAACTTCCGTCGTGCCTACCTTGTTCAGTTGGGAAATTGCTTGACGTTGAATCGATGAACCTCGGAAAGGGGTGGACTGCTTGTTGACTGCGACAGTTTGGTCTCTGCGAGTACGGCGATGTTGGCAGTTTCTAACACCTCACCAGCTGACAGCAACAGAACAGACTGCAAGCTGCAAGCGCCGCCGAGTGCGACCGGCGACCGGCCGTAGTTACCTGGAAAGCCGCCGTCTGCGCAGCACCGT